TTATCATTTTTAGGCTTTATTTATAATCCCGTTGATATTACCACTGATAAAAATTACTTCCTTGTAAAGAAATTTTTTCCGCCCTTTTCAGTAGATAACGCATGTCGTGAAAAAAAGAAAGAAGAAAGAAAGAAAAAGAAAAGAGAGAAAAAATCCCTCAAATCTGGCAAGTTAACAATGGGGATCACTAAACAGTCCTGAATAGAAAATGTCTCCATCAATCTCGGAAAGTTACATTGTTCTCGGTCCCACTGGGAGTTTGTTTACAAGTCGAGTTCTGAATGGCTGAAAGAGTAACGACTAAACACTGATCTAATCAATCACTTTCGCGTTGATTGAAATTCAGAAAAAGGGTTTCGGCTGATTTGCACTTTAGAGGTAAATAACAAGAAGGTGTAGTTACGAACCCAACACGTCGAATGTATGTTTGACGTCCCAAACAAATTTACGTCATCAAGTAAGGTATTGGTATCTAAAGTTCCGATTAGTAAAAATAAGGACAGATTAAAGACTCTGTTTGAAAGGCACCAGCTTTTACTCATCCTGTGTCATCTAATAATCACGTCATAATCAGGTCGTGAACCGTAGTGATAACCACAATTTTGCATAAACTATTCTTTTTATATGAGCCTGGGACTGCATGTTCCCAAAAGCATTTGAAATGTTTTTTTGTGTTGGTTGGTTGGGGGGGGGGGGGGGAGGGGGGGGGTGTAAAAGGTGGTTATTGGGGGTGTGGTAAAAAGATTGGTACCGAGCATAACAACAATCCAAATAATGTTTCTTTTCCGTTTTTCGAGTTATAAATTCAAGAAGAAAGAAGAAAAAATTACCTCGCAATTGGTAAAATCCATGTCGTCATCCAAGACAAAACAAAAGACGCTCGCAACTGAAAGTAAAACTTCAGAATTTCCAAATATCAGAGACAAATTGCTAAATATTACACTAGTCAAGAGATTATACTTGATTTTGGTAAGTCATTCATAATAAACCTTTTAATCTCTAGTGTTAAACGGAAATCCTTGTTTAAACAGGATATGGCGTAATACTCAAGGACGATCTATTCATTCTGATCCCATTATGTCATAAACACCCGTTTTAATGCCATTATTAGTAACATAACCTAAGTGTTTCAGCAAACACAGGCTTTCTCAGTTTAATCACGCGAGAGTTTTGCCGGCATGACAAAAGCAGACCGTTTAGAGGCTTTGACTTTAGATGGATTTAGAGTGGAACGTAACCTTTTGCGTGAGAATATGCAGCAAAGATTAGTAATTAAGCCTTCAACCTCAAAAATGTCGTCTTAAGCTTCGCCGCGTTTCGTTCAGTGCTAAATTATGTTTCGTTGGTTTGTTGACTTTTTTAGGACGGGTCGGTTCTCTCGGGTGGGACCTGAACAAAGCGGGCAAGAAGTTAAAAAAGAAACCCCTTCTTACAGCTGTTCGTTTATAGATTACAAAGAAGTTTAAAAACACTTGGCTTGAAAAGTAACCCACCCAACTGTCGAGGTAAAAAGTAATGGAACTTGCAGGAATAATAGGAGGCGGGAATTTCCAATGTTCTAAAAAATTCCTAAGTGCTTATAGATTAACAATACTCGAGGAAAAAGTTTTACTTCCTTTATGGAGTTGGTGACGTAACTCGTGCTTCTGACCAATCAGCGCAACAATTCCTTAAACATGTTAGTGCTTTACATTAATCATAAGCTTCGTAGTTTTACAAGAGAGCTTCAGGTGATAATTTTGCCTGTTAGGTTCTGTTGTTTAGGATTTTTAGGGAAGTTATTTACTGGCGGCTCACTTTTTGACGTCAAAACCAGTCAGGATGCTCTTGATTCCGAATACTGCAGTGACAATTTATGATCCACATCGATCAATTTACAATTATTATATTTTAAATAATTATGACGGATATTTGCTTTCTTCTGCTTTGTTGGCCTCAACTTATAAATGAAATGAAATGCGATGACATCCTCTTTGCTTCCCAACTACAGGACATGCTCATGGCGATAGCGACAACATTTGTTGCTGCTTTAAATCGTAACTAAATGTCGCCTCTCTTTCGATTGTTCTTCATATCAGCTCTTCTAACTACAATTGGCTCATAATAGGGGTTTTATTGTTAAAGCATACCACAGCCGAGAGCCAGTTCGTTCAATTCAGTATAGAGCTGGTATGACGGAGAAATTTTCTGCTCATACTTGTATTTTCCTTACTTATGTCGACACTAGGATCAACCTTCAGTTTTTGCAAGTGTAGTTGTAAATTTGACTCTTCATAATTCGGGGCTGGGAGTATGTACTAGATAGAGCCAAGAAAAGAATATTGATAAAAAATAATAGATACGCATGAAAAGACAGATATACATTATCATGTGTTTAACTTGTTTAAGTTAAAAAAACTGCACGTGTTCACGGTCTAGATATTTCGGAAATCTCAACTTCAAAATATCTTCAAGTGCCCAACAAGCACGGTCAAGGTTACTAAATTTTTCCACAACAATTGAAAAAAATATTCACCTGATATTCTGTAGATACGACCACACACAACGGACTGTCAAGTGGGGGTCTCCCTCAGTTACTGATAATGCCGTTGAACTGGTAATGGGTTTCAGCCTTGTTTTTATCTTTCCTGTATCCTGATTACCTCAGAATTTCATGAATAGAAGAATGACCACTGCCGGAGAGCCTCACACTCCGTTTGCTTGAAGATTATTCCCTGGAGACTATTCTCTCCTGACTTTTCACTTGCATTTTCATATATACTTTGCTGACTCACGGTCAAGAATTTAGTCACCATGAAATTGTCACCTGAATCGATTTAGCTAAGAGCGCAGAGGTTTCATTATAAGTATTTCTTTCGAATACCATTTTTTATCATTTTTAGGCTTTATTTATAATCCCGTTGATATTACCACTGATAAAAATTACTTCCTTGTAAAGAAATTTTTTCCGCCCTTTTCAGTAGATAACGCATGTCGTGAAAAAAAGAAAGAAGAAAGAAAGAAAAAGAAAAGAGAGAAAAAATCCCTCAAATCTGGCAAGTTAACAATGGGGATCACTAAACAGTCCTGAATAGAAAATGTCTCCATCAATCTCGGAAAGTTACATTGTTCTCGGTCCCACTGGGAGTTTGTTTACAAGTCGAGTTCTGAATGGCTGAAAGAGTAACGACTAAACACTGATCTAATCAATCACTTTCGCGTTGATTGAAATTCAGAAAAAGGGTTTCGGCTGATTTGCACTTTAGAGGTAAATAACAAGAAGGTGTAGTTACGAACCCAACACGTCGAATGTATGTTTGACGTCCCAAACAAATTTACGTCATCAAGTAAGGTATTGGTATCTAAAGTTCCGATTAGTAAAAATAAGGACAGATTAAAGACTCTGTTTGAAAGGCACCAGCTTTTACTCATCCTGTGTCATCTAATAATCACGTCATAATCAGGTCGTGAACCGTAGTGATAACCACAATTTTGCATAAACTATTCTTTTTATATGAGCCTGGGACTGCATGTTCCCAAAAGCATTTGAAATGTTTTTTTGTGTTGGTTGGTTGGGGGGGGGGGGGGGG